TGCGCATTCCCACCCAGCTTCTTTTAGGGAGGCTGTGTGTGTGTGCTTACATCCTTTCTCAGCTTTGTTGTTTTTCAATCTTTATTGGTATTGAAGCCTGCACAGCAGGCCAGCATCGCTGCGATCGCCAGCGCCCACGCCAGCACCGTCGACACCAGCCGCCGCCACCCTTACGCCTGTTCTCATGGTCATTATTTGCTTTTGCTTCCTGCAGCCACATCTCTCAGAGGAGACTCTAAGTCTCGGGAGCACGGTTTGCAGGCGACGCTCAGTTACCGTGCCCTGGTCGCCCTCTGATAAAAACGTTTGTTTAACGAACTGGCCTGTCGGCCATTCCGATCCTCCGATGTCTTGGGATTGAGATCTTGAGGTCTTGGGATTTGGTCTAAGGCTGATTGGGTATATGTGCTCATCACGGTGTGTGTTTGTGTTGTTTTTTACAAGGGATGGTGGGGGGGTGGCCCTCGTTGTCCCTGGCCTAAATGGGGTGATCCCGTGGGTTGTCCCGTGGCTGCCCCGTGGGCCGTTCCTTGGGCTGTCCTGCCAGAGGAGGGGCGCGTGGAGACAACAGCAGTTGGCCTCCGGGGGCCCCTCGTCGCCACGGCTGGGCGCAGCCCGGAAGCTCGGTGCGCCCGGAGCCCGGAGAGGGCTCCGGAGACCGACGTTGAGCTGCCGCTATCTCGATTCTCGGAGGTGGGTAGACCTCCTGCCCCGACACGCCGATTCACCTGGCATCGCTCGGACGCGTGCATTTCTTCTCGGCGAGAACCATTGAGGACGATCCTGGACCATCGAGCCCCCCCCCAAAAAAACGCACGAAACCGAAAAATGCACGGGAAATGGACGTCCGAGCGATGGCGAGTTAAGGAATTGACTCTTTTCGGTTCGCGAGAGGGCGTCGCGGCCGTCACCTTTGCGGGTCCAGGTCCGTCGGTTTCGGCCCCACGCCGTTTTCACTGAGGGGAGGTTTACTAAAGGGAGGTTTGTCCACCGCCGAAATTCGCCTGACTCTGGTCCAGTGGGTTCTCCGACAGGTTGTCTCGCGGGCTGCCCAGTGGGTTGTCTCGTAGGTGTCTTGCGGGAGATGCATGCCGAGATGCGGGATCCGAAATTGCAGCGTCAGTGAAGATGCGCGCGAGAAAAAATACTCGCGATAAGGAATGAGATATCTGAATGGTTCTAGGTAGCCTTATCCAGTCAAATTCATCCGAAGGATGATTTGCGGGTTTGGAGGGGCCCCGGCCCAGGGAGCCGCCAAAGAGCTCCGAAACGGCACCAGAGGGTCCCCGGAGGGCCCTGAAACGGCACCAGAGCTCCCCCGAGGAGCCCCGAAACGACCCAAGGAGGCCCCGAGACGACCAAAGATAGCCCCGACATGACCCAAGACGGCCCTCCGGCAGCCCAAGATGCTCCCAAGACGGCCCATAGGCCGTCAAGACGCCCCGGGATGGCTCCGAGGAGACACCTTAGAGGGCCGCAAGAGGCTGAAATCGCAGATTTCCCTTGTAGGATTTTTACGGATTCTGCCTCAACCATCTGGACCCCCAAGACGGCCCAAGAGGCCTCCAGGATCGCCCCGAGACGGCCCAAGTTCACCCAAGAGAGACCCAAGACAGCCTAGGAGGGGCCCGAGAGGCTTCCAAGACGGCCCAATAAACCCCCAAGAGGACTCCAAGACGGCACAACAAGCCCCCACGAGGCCCCCAAGACAGGCCAAGAGGGCCCCGATTCTTTCCACGAGGGCCCCGAAACGGCCGAAGATGCTGTCAAGACAGCCCCAGAGGGTCTAAAACGTTTCAAATAAGCCCCGGGAGGACCACCAAGAGGGCCTCAAGAGGCGATAGTCATCGACTTCACGCTGGTTGCCGATCGCACACCGCAGCTTGCTGGTATGTACGCGCCAGAGACGGAAGCGAGCATCGTCAAACTTCGACTCACGCGGCTCATTGGATTGAGTCCACGGGCACAGATTCGTATATCATTCGTATATCTATAAATGTGCGTATATGTATATATCCCCACGGGGAACCCATTTTCACAAATGCAAGCCCGAGGGCTTTAAGCGAAGAAGTTAATGCATATGTTGACGCAGATGTTGATACAGTGCTGTTGCAATGGCGTCTGCCATGGAAATCAATCAGAGAACTTTCCAGTTAAAAACAGTACGAACACACTACAAACAAAACCAGCAAGAATCGTGACGAATTCCCCCCCCCATCCGAGAGGCGCCACAGTAGGAATGTGGTTCACTGCTGCCCACGAGGGAGGACTCGGGGTGGAAGCTGCGTCCCTTCTCTTCCGCCTCCTCCTGTCTCTTACTCCCTCTCCTTCTCTGCCTCAGTACTCTCCTCGTCGTTTCTCCTCCTTCGCCTTTCCTCGCCTCGTCGATCCCTCCTCCTTCGCCTCTCCCCTTCTCGTCTTCCCCTTCCTTTCCGCGCCTCCCAAAACCGGCACCCCAGAATCCCCCGTATTGGAAAAATAGGAGAAACAAGCATTTAATAATGTTTGCGGGACCGTTAGGAACCTTGAAATTCAAAGGTGTTCGAATATGATCGCCCCTCCAGGGAAAGGAGAGGGAACCGGAGGTAAAGGGAAGAGAGAGACTTGGGAGGGAACGCGCATGCCAAAATCTCTGGATTGTTATAAACTTTCGGGGTGTCACAAACATGTGTATGATCTCTTTCGAAGATTGTTTCTCTATTTGGGACTCACAGGGATCGTGGTCCCAAGACGATTTCTTCGTGTTGTTAATGTATGTGTTCGAATTGATTTGTGTTGTAAGGTTTTATTTTCGTTGTAGGTGTTCCTTTTTTGTTGTTAGTCAACCGTATGTTCTTACTGTATAGGTCTACAGTGTGTTATCATTGATTTCGTGTGTAATGGTTTGATTTCGACTTAAGCTGTAACTTATTCGCACGGCTGTATGCCAAAGGTTGTTTGGACGTGTTTCTTTGCAAGGTGATTTTGTTTGTTCCATTGCTTCCCTTGTACAACTTTCATGAGGGAGCGCTAATGCCGAACGTCTTTGATTGGTATAGCTTTTCGGAGTCCCAGAAGGAGTATTAGGTTAGGTGCTCTGTTTTGTTGTGTTCTTGTTGACCCTCACCAGTATCGTGGTCCTAAGACGTTGCACTGTTGATTTAAAGTGTCTGTTGTCCTATCAATTCAAAACGACACATTGTCTCCTTGTTTTTGTTTATTCTGGGCTATGTTGTTTATTTCAATTGCCAGTAATTATTATTGTTGCAGGGGAGATGTTTCTATTGTTTGAATGTCAAGGTATCCTTCTTTGCTTTTCAATGAAATATTGTCTTGATGGGCTAATGCGGAAAAACGTTGATGCTGTATGGCTGGAAGGTAAAATGATTATTGTGTTTGGTTTGACGTCTTTTTATGTTTTTTCAGATTATTACAGGGATCGTTGTCCCGAGACGTGTTCTTATTGTTTTTGAGCGTCGATATTCTTATCGATTGTCCGTGTAAGATGCTCTGTTTGATTTGGAGTGTAATGTGTTCTGATTGGTTTTACGTATGATGCTTCTTGATTGTATTAATGTGCATATTTGTTTTACTGTTTTTGATTGCAAGGTGGTCTTTATGGCGCTGATTGTAATATGTTAATATTCTTTGTAAGTGTAGAGTTCCTTGTTTGTTCAATTTCAGGCGCCCTTGCAACAACAGTGCATCAATATCTTCGCCAACATATGAACTTACTTCTTCGTTTGAAGCCCTCGGGCTTGCATGTGTGAAGATGGGGTCTCCGTGGAGGGGTCTAGTACATATATATATATATATGTGTGTATGCGTATATGTGTGTATGCGTATGTATCATCATACGCACTGTTCCGAGGGGAGAGTAGAGCACAGAAGTGATTAATTGGTTCCGTCGTGATATTTCTGGCCGGTGCGCTCGGGACACCCTGAACATTTTGAAAATCATTGGGCGCCCTGACTCAAATCGTGACGTCAGGGTCCTAACACATTGAATTTTTCAAACGTCTTAACACTTGAAAAAGCATCCACGAATTTTGAGCCCCATGATTCATAGAAAAAGGTGATTTCGCCTGCGCAACCCTCACAAAGTCAAGCCTCGACGTACAACACACAGAAAACACATTACACACCACACACGACACAACAACAGCACAACAAACAGAGAGTACACACAATACCTACACACACGCACACACACACACACCACGCACACAATACACATCACACACCACGCACACAACGCACGCAACACACGCAACACACACAACGCGCAAACACATACACACACACACACACACACACACACGCACACAACACACTGAATACACATAACACGTAGAACACACGCAATCCACACATAATGTACACATAGCGCACACAACATAGTACACATATCACACGCATACATACACGTGTCCTTTATATTTGTTACGCATACCTGTATACATGTAGTAATGTGTATACGTCTTTATGCGCATCGAGACAGATATGGACTCACGAAAACACGCATACATGGTATGATTGAAGGTTGGGATGTGAAATCGTCCCTGTCGCATCCCCACCAGATGGTGGCCTGACGTCGTGCCAGAGTTGTAACAATGACCTCGCAGAATGGGCCACTGCGCCATCCCTTCGGCCACAGAGGCAGTCAAGCGGCGACCAGGACAGCCACTGGGCCGAGCCGGGTGAACTTAAAGCCATGGGAAAGTACACGCAGGAATGTCGCGTGTTGTGCCTTGCTGTGTCTTGAACATCGCACCCACGATACAGGGCGGGTAGGGTAAAGGGCAACCAATGCAAGTTGTTCGTGACAGATCGGGTATCGGGAATGATGATCAACATAAAAAAAACACGAGTAAGCGTTGTGCATGGCAAGGTTGCCGAGCAAAAACACTAGCAATCAGCACACGTAACGTCAGGAGCAGTTGTAAATATCCGAGTTCCCCCCAAGAGTAGGGGTTGGAGGATGAAGAGGAGGAGGAAGCTGTTCACCCCGTGGCCGCAAGGACGAGTTCGACGAGAAGCCCAACGCAGGCGACGCCGCTCTGATCGCGAAGGGAGTGAACTCACAGTGCCAGAGAACGGACGTGCACGCTCACGAGGTCATTCGGCAGTCATTGGGGCGAAAAACGAGCCCACTCATCCGAGACGTGCGGGACGTCGAGGAGGAGTTTGGTGACGCGTCGCGTTCGCGGCCAAGGGCACCTCGCTTCAGCAGGCCCCTGTGCCATGGTCCTGGTGCCAAGTCGCAAGACCCGCGCCGAGAACAGAGAGCAGTTTCCGTTGACCCACTCCCAGGAGACACTTGAAAAAGATCGCCGTCACATCTAGGATACCGCCCGGCTCTACGGTCTGCTGCGTTTGTCCAGAAAGGGCACCACATGGGCCGATACCCAGGAAAGGAGTTGGGATAAACATGATATTTCGGAGTTTGGCGCGGGTCTTTTGAATCTGCGCTGGGCCCCCTCCATGGCGCGCGGAGCGCGCCAGGGGCGGCGCCAGAGTCGCCGACAGGGGGGCCCAGCGCCAATCCAGGCAAATCCGCGCGGAGCTCTGAAAATTCAGGCGTACGCCGTGTCTCTAGGCTTCCCAGGTGGGCTCCGAGGAGATGGGGTCGGAGGATCGCGCCGCATCGCCGATGCATCGGCGATGCACTGGCGATGCGGCGCGATTCCTCGACCCCATCTGCTCGGACCCCATCTGAGAGGCCTCCAGTGTTTTCTTGCTGCAGATGCGGACCGTGGCGCCCGCTATGGCACTGTCGGTGCTCCTCTCGGGGCACGTGCCCCTCCCTTGCCCTCCCTGCCGCGAGGCGCAGCAGCGCGCCCTCTCGCGTGCGGCCTGCCGCCTCCATCGCGCGCGCGTGCCGCAGCATCGCGCGTGCGTACCAGCCCGTATAGCCGAGAGGATAGGGGCAGACAACTCACCGATCCAGCGACGGGCTGAGGCTGCTCAGTGTACCCGTGCAGTCAGCACGGCGAGCGAGGATGAGCGATTTTCTAGGTTTATCCTTGCATCCTTCCCCTCTGGCCCATCCTCGGCCGCTTTCGCTGGCTGCGCCCCGTTCGAGAAGTGTCGGCATGGCCTTCCAAGGCCTTGGCAGTCTCTCTCACTGTCTCTCTTTCTCTCTCTCTGTCTATCTCCATGTTGTTTTGTTGTTTCGTGTTCTCTCTCTCTCTCTCTCCCTCTCTCTTTCTCCCAATATCTCTCTCTCTCTTATGCTCTCTCCCTCTCTCTATACATACATACATCTGTATGTATATATATATATATATACACACTATCTTCCTTATCGCGTGATTTCTTTATGGTGTGTTGTTGGTGTCTGTCTCTCTCTTTCTCTCTCTCTCTCTCCCTATGTTTCTACATATGTCCTCTCTTTCTCCAAAGATCAATATTTGTTTTCTTCTCTCTCTCTCTCTCTCTCCTTCTCTCCGATTTTCAATTTGGGGCTCTCGGTTTCACTTCGGTCTCCCCCCCCGAATTTCCGATTCATTAAAAGGATGAGGACGACAAGAAGTAGCAAGATGGGGCAGGAGGGCGTGGTCGGAGCCAGAGGCGGAGGATGGAGAGGTGGGCGAGGAGGAGCAGGATGAATAAGCAGGGGTAGGGTGTGAAGGGGAGAATGCGGAGGAGGACGAACGGGTAGGGAACCAAGGACGTAGTGGGTGGGGAATGCGGGGACGGAGTGAGACGGGGGGAAGGATGAAGAGCACATGAACAGGGAAGGGACGGGGGACGGTCAAAGGACAGATGAGGAGAGGAATGGAGAGGAAAAGGCATGATGGTGCTGTTCAGAAGCGTCTGGTCAGATCGGCCACGGTGCGTGCCAGTGCTAGCCCCTGTTGTCCTGGCTGGCCCGCCGATCCATGTGAGCCAACACACGCCCCATCCATCCCCCTCCTCCTTCCCTCAATTTCCTTCCCTCCCATCCCCCTCCTTTATGTTTCCTTTGTTGCCTCGAAGATTGGCCTTTAGTTTGGGCATGTTACCGGATCAAGCGCAAAGCAGCACGAAGCTTGGGTTCTTTGAAGTGGTCATGTCCGTGGAGGCACGTTTCAAAGGGCTCGGCAAATGCCGGATCCGTTGAGCTTGTTGGACTTGACATTCGCTCCTTCTGCTGCTCGTCGCACCAGCTGTACTATTAACCATTATGCTACTTCGGTGGCACGCCCCACATCATTCAGTGCGGGAAGCTCGCCAGCCTCCTTGTTACCACGCATGCCACTCAAAGCCCGCGCGCGCGGTGAAGGTGGATGAGGAAGAAACGGAGGAGAAGAGAGCCAAAGAGGCACGGACGAGGGAATGCCTGGGATCTTTGAGAGGACACAAGGACGCTGGAAGGGCCTTGCGCAGCTCTGGTGGGCTGGTGGCCGTGATCGTTGCTGGTGCTGCTCGCTTCTCTTCGCGGTGGCGACTGTCAAAGGCGTGACACGATCAGCCCCCGCACTCAGAGAAGGAAAAGGTAATAGAACCGCTACCCTTCGCCCGGTTCCCCCTTTTGGGGCCTCCCAGGAGGCCCCCTCGTCGCCACCGCTGGATATTCGCCTCGACATCCTGGACAGGACGCCCCCCCAGGAGAAGGCCGGGGAGTGGCAGTGTTGGTACCTTTTTGTTCCCCCCCCGCATACACCCCCGAGATCCGACGTTGCGAGCAGAACTGCAGCATCTCGAAAAATCACGACCGGAGCCTTGCACCCTGATCGATCTGGGGCACAACCCAACGCCGGGCGAAAATTCCCGGTGTGAAAAAGAGGCAGCGTCCTCGGGCGTGAATCAGTCGGGGGAGCAATAAGTGTGTGTGTGTGGGGGGGGAGAACAGGTGCCTTTTTTCTGACCTCGCAGGCCCCCATCTGGGGCCCCATAAAGGGCCCCTGCAGGGGCGCCCTCTAGAGCCCCTTTTCTGCAGCCCTCGCTGCCCCCCCATTTGTTGGCCCCCCGTTCCCAGACCCCCGACGTCGTGATTTTCTCGCAAGGTCGACCCCCAGAGGTCTGGACCCCTGCCCTGGGACCCGCTTCTCATCCTGCGTTGTTTCTTGTCAACGTCCTGGGGCCCGGCATGGGCCCCGCGCGGCCGAAAATACCCTGACCTTCCAGAGAGCTATTTTTTTAGCACTGGAGGCCTAAAAGCCTAAAGAATTGAACAAAACAGCCTAAAACCAAGACGTAGAATAGCTCTGGGATGGGTGTTTAAGTCGGGTGCCATTTTTTAGCCCTCCTCGAAGGTCAGGGTACAGAAAGACCTCCCGTCGCGATTTGTGTTCACCGCGCGAGGGGGTCCGGGTTGGTTACTCGACGCCCAGCGGCCGGATCTCGGTGGCGAGGGCGTCGGCACGAACCCCTAGTCCGAGCAGGCTTGGATTCTGTCGGGCGTGTCCCCCATGAAGGGGGAGCTTCGACGGACAAAAAAAAATACACCCCAAAAAAATGCCCCCCCAAAAGGCAACAAAAATGTTCAACAAAATAGTCCCCAGGCTATGTTTGGATTATCTTTTGATTCTTGTTGGAGAATGTAATATTTTTCGTCGAGAATCCCCCTGTAGGGAGACAGGCCCGACCTAACGCTTGGACCTCCTCGGGCGGGCGGCGCGCAGGGCGCGTGCCCTCACTGGGCGCCCGAGGCGGCGGCCGCGCGCAGGGCGCGGCCTCCCGTGCCGTGGCGGCGCGGCCGCGGGGCCCGGGCGGCGGGGGCGAGGGCGAGGGCGCCCCGCTGGCGGGTCTGGAGACTTTGGGCGGGAGAGAGGGAGAGAGAGAGAGAGAGACGGAGATGCAGACATACGCATTGTTTTCTCTAAACAGATGACAAAATTGAGCGACACAAGCATCATAAGATCAACCACAAACACAGCAGCAACACCAGCAGCAACAACAACAGCAGCAACAACAACATCAGCAACAGCAACAACAGCAACACGAATAAAAACAACAACAACAATAATAATACTAACAACAACAGCAATTACTACAACAACAGCAACAGCAACAACCATAACGTCAATGACAACAACAACAACAACAACAACAGCAACAACAACAACGACGACAACAACAACTGCAACAACGACAACCACAACAACAACCACAACAACAACCACATCTACAACGGCATTGACAAGTGCAAAAACAAAAACAAAAGCAACGACAACGACAACGACAACAACAACAGCATCCGCAACAACAGCAACAATCACAACAACAAACACAACAGCAGCAACAACGACACCGACACCACCACCAATAACAACAACCACACCAGCAGCACCAATAACAACAACAACAACAACAACAATAACCACAGCAACAACCACAACAACAGCAACAACGACAGCACCACCAACTACAACAGCAAAAACAAAAACGAAACGGTACAAGGCTTTGGCCGTTCTCGGCCTCCTCTGAGGTCCGCCGCCGGGCCCCGGGGCAGTCAAAGAACGGTTCGGGATGAACAGTTGGCCGGGGTCGGGACGTCCAGGGGCCTGGTATCTCGAGGCCTCCCAGATGGGGGTCGGAGGATCGCGCCGCATCGCTGATGCGGCTCGCTGTGGAGCCCGATGTGCTTCGCTTCGACGTCGCCGATGCATCGGCCGATGCATCGCCAACGGCGGCGATGCACTGGCGATGCAGCGCCATCCTCCGACGCCACCTGCTCGGACCGCATCTAGGAGGCCTCGAGCATCTGCAAGAGTCAGGACGTCGCACGTCAGGGCGTCGCACGTCCGGGTGAACATCGGCGGCGAGTGAAGGGGGGACAACGACAAGGACAGGGCCTGCTCGGTAGGCGGCGGCACTATTCAGAAGCCCCCGCGCCTTCTGCAAAGCGTTTTGTTTCTTCGGGGACTTTTTTCTCGGAGGTCTGGGGGGCTTCCGGGGCTTTCTGAGAAGGCCCGCCCCTTCTCACTTCCCCCCTTGGCTCGCCGCCGGAAAAAAAACATGGAGGTTGAATTCAGCATCGGCGCTGGTAGGTCCGTGATCAAAAACTGGCCCAATCAGTCACAATCCCGTTTCTTCCTGCCTGGTGGGGCTTAATCGGGCTTGATACTGGCTTTCATCCGGCTGGCCGAGCTGAGCCTTACCAACCCAACATATCCCGTTTAATACAGCCAGCCTAGTCGGGTTTAATCCCTGCCGTGGTCCTGCACAGCCCAGGCGAATGGCCCGCAACTGGGCTCAATACCCCCTAGCCGTTCTCACGGAGATGCTTCAGGAGCTGCACCCTCACAGAAAGAGGAGGGCAGCGAAGCAGACAGACACACAGGCAGACAGACAGACAGACAGACAGACAGACAGACAGACAGACAGACAGACAGAGAGACACGGAGAGAGACAGAGAGAGAACTCAAGCGTATTTGGCTCGAACTGTTTTCGGCATTCGTTCCATCTCTCCCTGGGCTGTACCAGGCTGTCTGTTCTCGCTTGAAGGCCGATTTTACTCGGTCAGCGCAGGGACCCGTTCTTTCTTCATGGTCTCCCCCTCTTCCGCGCTGCGCAATGGCAACAGCTGGAAGCTATGGACCTGCAGCTCCTGTGGGTGTCGCCGCGACAAGGCTACGTGGCATGTGTGCAAGCATTGCCAAGCGTTAGTCAGAGAATCCAGCACCGGCTCTGCCCCCCTCGCCGTCGCGGGGAACATGGAGTCGGGACTGGACATGGTATGACACGACCTACACGAATGACTCTTACGGCGGCGACGATCGTGCTGGTGGTGACGCTGCTGGGCCTGGTCTCCCGCGTCCCCCTGGGCCTCAGTTCATGTGACCAAAGGGTGCCGTTCCAGCCCTGCCAAGCATCTCTGCTGACGCGCCGCTTGAGGATCTGCAGTCGGCCGCCCAATTAATTCGACAAACTGGGCGACGTCGGCACTCCCTCGACCTACAAGAAGATCATCGCCTCCCGTCAAGCATCGGCCCCCGCCGCCCCGCCTTGCAGCGCCAGATCAATGACGCTTGCCAGAGGGCCCGCTGGCTTGAGGGGAAGTTTAAAAAGGCAGCCTTCGGCTACAATCGTCTCGGGCAGCAGCGTACGCAACAGCGGGAGCGGGTCGCTCAGGTGTCTGAGGAACTCAGTTCCGCCGAGGCCGAGCACACCCAGCTGGTGCGCGACCTCCACCAACGGGTCGCCCCGCCTCCCCCAAAGGCCGCCGCGCCGCCGTCGGGGCCCCCAGCGGCCATCTCCATCGACGCCATCCTCGAGGGTGCCGCCATAGAGTTGCCGATCTCCTTAGGGTCGCTCGGCAAGCTTGTCAGCGAGGAGTGCGATTGTAGTGGCCTCCGGCCAGTGCCGCCGATCCAGGGCGCTCCGCAAGAGATGCAGGGGGGGGGTCCGCTCTGCAGTGGGGGGGGGCTGCAGGGGCGGGGTCCGCTCTGCAGGGGGCGCGAGCGACGACGAGGACGACGACGACGCGAGCGACGACGACGACGACGACGACGACGACGACGACGACGACGACGACGACGACGACGACGACGACGACGACGACGACGACGACGACGACGACGACGACGACGACGGGGGGGGCTGGGTGGCAGGGGGAGGGTCTGCTCTGCAGGGGGGGTCCGCTCGGCAATGGGAGGGGCTGCAGGGGAGAGGGCAGGGGAGGGGGTCTGCTCTGCAGGGGGAGTCCGCTCGGCAGAGGGAGGGATGCAGGAAGAGGGAGAGGTGTCCGCTCTGAAAGGGGGGGCTGCAGGAGAGGAAGTCTGCTCTGCAGGGGGGGGGGGGGGGGGGCAACGGGGAGGGGTGCGGACGTTCTGGCAGGTAGGGGTGCTGCACCGGGCGGGGTCCGCATCTGCAGCGGGGAGGGGACTGGGCGCCAGGGAGGGGGGGGGAGTGCTCTGCAGGGGTCGGAGGGGGGGAGGGTCCGCTCTGGGAGGAGGGGGGCTGCAGGAGGCGGGTCGCTCTAGCAGAGGGGGAAAGGGCCAGAGGGGGGGGGAAGCCCTCTGCAGGGGGGGGGGGGGGGGCGCAGGGGGGAGGTCCGCTTCGCAAAACAGTGGGGGGGGGAGGGGGGGGCTCGGCAGGGTGGGGGGGGGCAGGCGGGGGGTCGCTCTGGCAGTGGGGCGGGGGGCTTGCAGGGGCGGTGTTCCGCTCTGCAGGGGGGGGGGGGGGGGGGGGGGCTGCGCTGCAGGAAGGGGGGAAGGGCGCGCTCTGCAAGGGATTTGGGGGGGGGTCCGCTCTGGGAGGGGGGGGGGGGGGGGGTGGGGGAGGGAGAGCGAAGCACTGAATTAGGTCGGAAATGAGGCCACCCCCCCCACCGCATAGCATTGAATTAGGTCGGAAATGAGGCCCCCCCCCCGCAGAGCGAGGCTTGAGCGAGTTCAAGCCCACGCTCTCAGAAACTCACACGCCGGATCGGCGGATTTCTCCGCCGAGGCCCAGGAGTCGGCCGACACAGCAGCTGCCAAGGCGCGCTTGGCCCGCGAAGATCACGCTAAACTTTTCGCTCGGGTCGCATAGAAGAGACTCACTGGGACAGGTGGCGACGGCGCGGCAGCTGGCGCCCCATCGGCGGTTCAGGCCCCGACGCCCCCAGCCAGCGGATCGGAGACAGGTGGAGGCCAGCCCGCCACGGCGTCAGACGCTTCCACGTCTTCTTCGTCAGCTACCCCATCGTCGCCAACGGCTCCTGCCCCGACCGAGGCCGAAGCGCGCGCAGCCAAGGCCAAGTTCCGTGCCGATGCCGCTAGGATCGCACTGTCTCCCAATCCTGCCCCCCCCGCCGGCGTCGAGCCTGCCGCCGGCGCCTCATGGGGGGCGCTCCACTTCATGGCAGTGGCCCATGGGC